ATGACAACCATATACTGAACAATTTGCTCCAGGCATTGTATTTCGATTCGTGATCTCTAAAGAAATTTGTTTTGTTTTGCACCTTAAAGTAGGCTGGGTACTAACGCGGATAAGAACCTAACATCAACGGCAAAACCTATTGTTTTCAACCCATGTTTCCAGACTATTTATTTTTATGACTATGATAAAGTATAACAAGCATACTTTTTTAGCCATTAGTTGTTTTAAGATAGCCGTGGTAAGTTGCTTGTAATCGTCGCCTCCAACCGATGCAAGGAAGTTCATCTAAAACAAAAACAAAAATCGAGTTTGTTTATTATTATATTCAAAAATATATAATTGGTTGTAATAAAAATTTAATGGTTCTATAAATGTGTGTATTTCGAACAGGTTTCCATAATGTTACAACTTCATTATCTATAATGAGATATTCAAATATGACACGGAGAAAAAGCAATTTGTTACAAATAGATGCAATCTCTGAGGTCAACCTGTTTTGGTGATCAAGACTTATTGTCATAAATGTTTTATAAAGTGATAAAAACACTAGGAAGAATACCACACAAAATTTTATACAGGTTTATGAGCTTCTCATACCCCTACCAATAATTACACAATATATTGTGTAAAAAAACTGATACTATAGTATCAGATTATTCATTCACTAGCATAGGTTGTCTTTACAACAGCAAAAAAATCGGGGTGAATGCAATCTCAAGTATCTAATGTGAGGCTTCCTATGATTAGTAGGCTTATTGCTCTACTAAATGAGTTAACTGGGCATAAATGGTTAAAACCACAACACAATTTAATAAATATACTGTATATAAAGCATTCTTTTCCGTACCTTAATTAAAATCAAATGTATAATATATTTTATACTATACATTTATTTTTATCTTTGTTCCGTAATTTTTCATCCAGGTCCAGAAGTTCTTTTTCCTATTTAACAGGCAAATAATTCCATTTAACTGATGGGGATGGTCCTGCTATGCTCTGATTGCTAACAGAAGGAAACACTAAACCTTTTTCTAAATTGATTAGGCAAGTGTTTAACTTTTTCAAATCATATTGAATACTGACAAGCAACTCTAAACTTTTCTTCTCAAATGCTGCAATAAAAAAATAATTCTGACTTTAATAAATACCAATTAAATAGATTAGCTTTTTATTAAAGTTAACACAAAAAACTAAAAAAAAAATAGTATAATTACATTCAAAAATATATTTAAGAGTACATTTAATGAAACCTTCAAACAAATAACCCATCAAGGTAATCCTTTACCAGGAAATCGGGTGCCTAAAGCAGCCACAACAGCTGCCAAGCTCTGATCAGAAGTGGAAAATATCAGTAGAGAACGATTCGAACTAAATGGCTCAATATATCAAACAGTTGTGGGTTGTAAAATATTTTGGCAATTAAAAGATTTCTTCAATCTTGGGGAAACTGATGGATATGTCTCCTCAGTGTCACTTGTATTACAAACTGCTAACTTTTTAGCTGGTGGCATGGACAATTTTTCATCGCTATCAGCAGCTGTTTCAATGCTTGATGTGAACTCTAACATTTTCATTTGTTCTACAGCAGTTAAAGAAAAGATAAATATAGCTGTTCAGATCATTAGCATCTAGCATGTGTGTAACATAAAATTAAACAAGGAATAAAAACATAATAACGACACTTACCAGAATAATAAAGAACTCTTATTTTTAGCTGTTTCCAGTTACTTACAGGAGTAAGTGTTACTTCACATATGACAGTTAAAAGGCGCAATGAACGCAAGTGATTTGGCCAACACACTAAACTTTCATTGATCAGCCATGACAAACAGATAACGTCCATGGCACACATGCTTTTTTTTTTTTCATCAAGAAATTCAACTACAGCAAATTTTTTAAACTTTGCTTCCATCTTCATTTTTACTGTACAACATGTGTATAAAAAAAAACAAACAAATTTGAAAAATTAACAAGCATAAAAAAAAAAAAGTTTTTAGTTTAGTGGTTCCACACTTGTGTGTAGTGAGTGACTGGGGCCCCAGCCCCAGCCAAATTTGGGTCTTTTTACAACCCCAGCCACAGCTAAATAATAGTTTTAGCAGGAGTTATAAGATGAGGCTAGGAATTTTTTTTTATGCTATTTTATTTTTTAAGCTATAAAAGTTAAATAATATCTATAAAAAAATCTATAAAAAGCTATAAAAAAAGTTATAAAAAGCTATAAAAGTTAAATAATCTGTTATGAAAGGTAAACAATATAGGAAAATCACAAATATATATAGATTCAGGATTCCATACATTGTAATAGTTAAAATTAGGTTGTACAAAGTCTTCAGGAGCCCTACATAAATATGTAGTATATGAAAGTGCTTTTAAATTGTATTTTAAAAAAAGAAGTGTTTCAAATTTTTTTGTTTTTAGTCTAATACGTTCTTGTATTGATTTCAAAACTTTAAACTCACATTCACTTGTAGTTGGGCTTGGAAGTGAATTTATATTTTTTTATATTTATATTTAATTATAAATATAAAATAATATAAAATTTAATAATAAATAACATTTTAGAAAGAATTTAAAATCAAAAGTTGTTTATTTAAAATAAACATAACTATTCTAATATAAAAAAGAATAGCCTTTATAAAACTATTACAGTTTTAAATTTTGTTATAACTTTTGTATTACTTTTACATGATTATTTAATATTATCATTTTTATTACTATTATTATTACTATTTTATATTATTATTGTTATTATTATTTCAATCAGCCAAATAATCATAAGAATTTTTATATAAACATATTATGATTAATGACTCATCACTGAAGTTTATTGCAGTTTCGCAGTTAGTAATTCATTTGTATTTTTAGCATCACTTATTGAGTGAATTTCATTTAAATGTTGCTTCACTAATCTTTTAATATAATGTGATTTAGCAGATCAAGTTGAAGTTATTGATTTTTTCATTACCAATAACATTGTATTACACTTATACATTATATATATATATATATATATATATATATATATATATATATATATATATATATATATATATATGTATATATATATATATATATATATATATATATATATATATATATATATATATATATATATATTATTACAAAGATCAGAATATCATATACGGTATCATACAATTTACTTATTTTTTTACATGATATTTTGGCTTATAAAGTGAGAGACATTATCAAACTAATAAAACCGTTTAAAAAGTTTTGACTGGTTTTATTAGTTTGATAATGGCTCACACTTAATGAGCCAAAATATCACGTAAAAAAAGAGATAAATATTATGATACTGTATATGATGTTTTAATGGTTATAATACTATTATACATACTAATAAAGATGTCACTTAAATTATATATATATATATATATATATATATATATATATATATATATATATATATATATATATATATATATATATATATATATATATATATATATATATATATATATATATATATATATATATATATATATATATCACCACAAGGCTGAGATTATTAGGTGTCAAGTAGGTGTCAGCATTTTTACAGTATGTTATAATATTGTAATTAAAACAGTTAGAAAGTAAATAAAAAAGATAAAAAAAAGAAAGAAAGAAAAAATAGATAAACCTAAATCTAGATTTAATAACTTATTTAAAATTTATTCATTAGCAAACTTATTAAATGGTAAATCATGTGACGTATTTGTTACTTAATTGAATATCTTTAACAAAACAAATATATATACAAATCTTGCAGATGCAATTAACTCAAATTGTTTTTATATAAAAGTAAACCTACTATTTCAACCTTTATCTTATAATACAGAAATATTTTTCCACTTCTTCTCGTGATACAATCTGTTTCTAAATGAACTACAACCACTTGTTCTCGTGATAATCTCTAAATTTTCAATTAAAAGGATTTCTTCACTTTTACTTCTTTTTCTCGTGATACAATCTGTTTTAAAATAAAAAACAACCACTTCTTCTCGTGATTCAATCTGTAAATGTTGTATTAGAAATACTGTGAACATCAAAAAAACTGTAGTTTTGTCCTTTGATGTTCACAGTACTTCTTTATAAAGGACATCATGAACAAGCGATAATGTTACGCATGCGTACCAATATGTAAAAATGTCAATATTGGCCAATATTTGAGTAATGAAAACAAAATAATATTGGGCCAATATGGGCAAACAATATTGCATTAATATTCGCATATCAATATTGGCCAATATTGGCATGTCAATATTGCGCCAATATTATATTCCAATATTAGGAAAATAATATTGGCGTAATATTGGTATGATAATATTGGCCAATATTGATATGCCAATATTGGCGCAATATTGTTTGCCAATATTGGCGCAATATTGCATATCTTGGCCAATCTAGGCCAAGATACCCAATATCGCGCCAATATCGCGCCAATATTGTTTGCTACTTGGGTAAGCTATGAAGATGGCAGAACCGCATAGACGCACAGGAGGCACAACCGCATACTTTTATTATTTATCAAAGTTATGTAATTACAAATAACAACAATTACAATCGTCACATTTGAATGCGTTCATGTATAAACTTGAATAGTTTCAGGGGCGGATTCAGGATTTTGAAGTTTGAAATAACTAACTTCCAGACATGGAGCGAACTCGAAACTTTTATATGTTTATATTTATATCAAATATGGATACTTTGCAAAAAATTGAGATGATAGGAGCCTAGGAACAAAAAAACCCCAAAATTTTTGCTACACCTGCCCCAAACGTGAGAGCAACAAGTTGATAAAACAAGTTTTTTACTTTTCTTAACTAAATCTATATTCATCGAGAAATTTTTAATTTTGTAAAACAATCTTTTAGCGTTCAATAATAATGGTCTTATAAAATTTGTAACCCCCTCAAATTGAGGGGGATTCAAACTTTATGTGGCTATAACTTTTGAACGTTAAGAGATTATTGTATGAATTTTAAAATTTCTCGATGAATATAGATTTAGTTAAGAATAGTAAAAAAATTATTTTATCAACTTGTTGCTCTCACGTTTGGGGCAGGTGTAGCAAAAATTTTGGGGCTTTTTTGTTCCCAGGCTCCTATCATCTCAATTTTATGCAAAGTATCCTTATTTAATATAACTATAAACATATAAAAGTTTTGAGTTCGCTCCATGTCTGGAAGTTAGTTATCTCAAACTTCAAAAAATCCTGCATCCGCCCCTGAGTTTTGCTTTGAGATGATAGAAAAGTTGCTTAAGATGTTAGAAAAGTTTTGTTTTGAGAAAAAGATGTTAGAAAAGTTTTGTCCGAAAAGTTTTGTTAAAAAAGTTTTGTTTTTTGTTAGAAAAGATGTTAGAAAAGTTTTGTTTTGAAAAAAAGTTGTTAGAAAAGTTTTGTTATTTGTTAGAAAAGTTTTGTTAAAAAAACTTTGTTAGAAAAGTTTGTTTTTTATTAAAAAAGTTCTGTTTTTCGTTAGAAAAGATGTTAAAAAAGTTTTGTTTTGAAATGTTAGAAATTAGATTTCGTATTTTTTATTTAATTTTTATAAATGAGTTTTTGAATTAAAATAAAGCTAAGAGTATATCGAATAAGAAAACTGAGATTGTAAGTACAAAGAATGCCTACACAGTATACAAACTTACAAGTTATGCTTGGAGGTTTACTAAGGGGAGGGTTTGTTTATGTGAGACAGACATAAATTATTATAAAATAGGTTTATTAATATCAATTGATTGTTAGTAATTATTAGTGTAATTGAGTACACGAGTTGCGCGAATTGTAAAGTTAATTATCCAAAGTCCACACAAAACCCATTTTATGTGGACATTGGGCAACATTAGCTTTAGTTACTTTACATAAACAAATAAAATACAATTAAAAAATTTTTTTTTACATTTTATAAAAAAACCGTTACCTTTTTTGTTGAAAATAGTCTGTCATCTTACGCCTTTTTGCGTTTTCCATAGTATATTAAGATACTAAATTCAGGCGATTTTAAAACAAGTCGATTCAACACACAAATACCGGAACTTAGCTCACGTACAAAACGGCAGCCAACTTGATTAAGTTTAAAAAAATTTTGATTGAAGCCATTACAACACACTCGTTTGAGAAAAAAAAAATTTGAAAGTCTTGTAGGGGGTAATGCATTACCCACATTACCCCTCCCCCTGTATCCGCGCCTGTTCAGAGACATTAATACTCAATTAAAGATGTTTTATCCATGAAATGGTAAAAAAGCGAATTTCGAAGTACAGAATTACGCATTGTTTCGAAAATGTTTTTAACCTTTTATTTTTTGAGTTTGTTTAGTTAATAGAGTTGACGATTGAAGGTGAATGCTGCAACACCTCGAACCAGGTCGAACTAACTTTTTTTCTATTAAGACGTCAACAATCGCTTTATTCTCAACTTTTTATATACGTTTTTCTTTCCACAAACAAAACAGCTTTTGTCAGATGAAAGAGTACTCATTCATACTAGTATGAGCAAAACCTACAAACATTAATTCATCATCAGGATTCCATTTTTGTCTGTTGTTTCTTTTAAAACAACTTGAAAATATGAAACTCTATAATTATTTTTGTTATTTATCACTCTTTCAACTAAAAATACTGATGAATCGCTCACTGGAAATGAAAATGTCTTATAGGGATTCCCTCCTGCAATTGTTACGGTAATCATTGAATTTTTGGTGTATAGATTCTTCATTATTATTTTATTTTATTTTGTTTTTCCGTTGTGAAGCGTTTAATTCGTTCTTTCAGATTTCATTTAAACTATTAATATATCGAATTTTATATAAATACACCCAACACATCTATGATAGAATCTAATTTAAACTTAAGTGAGATGCGCAATGCTTTCAACTGTCTAAAAAATAATAAATGTGCGGGCATTGATAAAATTAGCGTAAATGTAGTTAAAGCTGTGTTTGATATTATTGAACCATCACTGTTTTACATTTTTAATCTTTCTTTAAAATCCGGTATTGTACCGGAGAAATTAAAAATTGCTAAGATTATACCTATTTTTAAAAATGGCGATGATACAAATATGTCCAATTATAGACCTATTTCTGTCTTACCATGTTTCTCTAAATTGTTAGAACGAATTATGTATGATAGACTTAACAACTATTTAACTGAGAACAATATTCTGTATAATAAACAATTTGGGTTTAAAAAAAATCATTCAACGGACCATGCAGTAGTCGATCTAATAAATTATGTATCCAATGGGTTCAATAATGATTGCTATACATTAGGAGTTTTTATTGATTTGTCAAAAGCATTTGACACTGTTAATCATGATATTCTAATAAAAAAACTAGAAATGTATGGAGTATTAAACAATAACTTACAATGGTTTAAAAGTTACTTTTCAAACAGGAAACAATACATAATATATACAGAAAATGAAGAAAAAAAACATATCATAACTTGTGGTGTTCCCCAGGGATCAATCTTAGGGCCCTTATTATTCAT